AGGCTTCCCGCCGAGCAGGGAGCCCGATGTGGGACTCGATCCCAGGATCCTGGGATCATGATCTGAGCCGAAGGCAGACACTCAACGACTGAGCCACCCAGGCGCCCGAAAGCCTGTTCTTTTAACCACTGCCTAGACACCTCTCACTGTTTCATCCATCTTATTCATTTAACGGTATGCGCCCGGCCCAGGGCCTGCTGTGAGTCTCTCCCACAGTAGGAGGCTGAGTTCAAGACAGGCGTCAAGAGGGGCTTACTTCAAGTAAGTGGGAAAAGGACCCCCAGTACGCATCCAGCAGTGACGCCCAGCGAGAGAGCTGCAGGGAACCTGGTCCGGTCAGCCCTCTGTCCTCCATCCTCCGTGAGACAGCCGGGCTCCTGAGCTGCTCTTACTCAGCTGCTGGGCTCTCTTTGACCCCTGAATCCATGTTTCCTGCTGAGGAAACAGGGGGACCAGACACTGGCTGGCCTGCTGCCCTGGGAGAGGGCCTGGGGTGAGATAAGAGGATGCATAGCCCGTGGGAGGAGCCTGAGCAGGCCAGAGGGCCAGGCAGGAAATCACCCCTTCCTTGGGGGGCCAAGAGGGAATGACTCAGGGCTGACTGGCGGGAGTTCCGTTTTTGTGGCCAGAACGGGCTGCCGTGAGGCCCCTTGGATAATGTGCTCGGGGTCGCCTTCCCCAGCCGTCTGCCAAATGGGGCTTGGACAGGTGTGCCTTGGCCTTTCCTCTTTCCCTTTTCCACCATTTCTCTGGAAACAAGTGGGCTGGGCTGGTCTCTTGCTCAATCCCTGCCCAACCCAGGCCATCCCCTGCAAGGTAGAATGTAGCCGTAGAGACAGGCGGTGAGGACTGAAGCTAGGTAGCCATGGGACAGCCGAGGCTGAGAATCTAGGTGCTCTGTACCTACGGTCTGCTGCCTTGTCTGTAGCGGGGCTCTGGCTGCTAGGAGGCCACAGTGGAAATGTGGGCATCTTCTGCTGGGGGAGGGTGCCCTTAGCCTAGGACTGGGGCTGATCTGAAACGTTCACCTCTTGTCCCCCTGTCCCCCCACCTTCCTCCCAACCCCAAACAACCACTGAGAACGAATAACTGAGTTCAGCAAGGATGCGGGACACAAGATCGACACACAAAACACAGTTTTCTTCTGCAGACTTGCAATCTACTTTGTATCTCCATAGATGTGCCTATTCTGGACATTTCATATAAATGAAATACAAGCAAATGCAATAGGTGGTCTTTTGTGACTAGCCTCTTTCACTTAGCATGGATTTCCCAAGGTCCAAGCATGTTGTGGCACAGATCAGTACTTCATTCCCTTTTAATGGCAGAATAATACTCCATTGTATGGACAGACCACATTTTGTTTATCCATTCATCATTCGATGGACATTTGAGTTCTTTCCACATTTTGGCATTACAAATAACATTTCTATAAACATTTGTGTACAAGTTTTTGCGTGGACGTATGTTTGGATTTCTCTTGGGTAGATACCAAGGAATGGAACTGTTGGGTCTTTTGGGCACTCTTAAGGAAACTTATGTTTTATTGACGAACTGCCAGATTACTTTCTGAACAGGTTACACAATTTTACATTCCCACAGGTGGTATATGAGGGTTCTGACTTCTCCTTGCCAACATCTGTTATTATCTGATTTGTTGATTATAGCCATCCTGGTGGGTGTGAATTTGTATCTCCTTATGGTTTTGATTTGCATTTCCCTGACGATTAATCATGTCAAACAACTTTTCATGTGCCTATTGGCTATTTGTAGATCTTCTTTGGAGAATGAGCTATTCGAATCCTTTGCTCGTTTAAAAATTGGGTTATCTCTTTATTATTGAGTTGTAAGTCTTCTTAATATATTCTAGACACAAGTCCCTGATCAGATACATGATTTGCAAACATTTTCCCCATTCTGTAGTTTGTCTTTTCACCTTCTTGATAGCGTCTTTGGATGTACAAGTTTCTACTCTGATGATGTCTAATTTATCAATTTTTTATTTTGTTACTTGTACTTTTGTTGTCCACAGAGTCCATTACCAAATCTGAGGTCATGAAGATTTACTTCTATGTTTTCTTTTAAGGGTTTTATAGTTTTGGCTCTTACATTTAGGCCTTTGATCCATATTGAGTTAATTCTGTACATAGTGTTTGGGTAGAAGTCCAACTTCATTCTTTTGCATGTGGCTATTAATTTGTTCCAGCATCATTTGTTGAAGATCATTCTTTCCCCATTGAATGGTCCTGGTGTCTTTGTTAAAAATCAGTTGACCTTGGACACATGGGTTTATTTCTGGACTGTTGATTCTATTCATTTATTTGGTATTTGTTGCTTTGTAGTTAATTTTGAAATTCAGAAGTGTGAGTCCTGCAACTTTGTTATTCTTTTTCAAGATTGTTTTGGCTATTCTGGGTCCCTTGCAATTCTTTATGGATTTTATTTTTTAAAGATTTATTTATTTATTTGTTCATGAGAGACAGAGAGTGAGGGAGGAAGACAGAGGCCCTCAGAAAGAAAGGCGGAGCAAGGAGCCTGATGTAGGACTCGATCCCAGGACCCCGGGATCATGACCTGAGTCGAAGGCAGATGCTTAACTGAGCCCCCCAGGTGCCCCTATATGGATTTTAGAACTGACTTGTCAATTTCTACTAAGAAGCTGGACGAGATTCTGATAAGGATTTCATTGAGTCTGTGGATCAATTGGGGAAGTATTATCATCTTAATAATATGATGTTTTCCAAGTCATGAACATGAGAGGCTTTTCCATTTATTTAGTCCTGCTTTAATTTCTTTCAGTGATGTTTTATAGTCTTCAGGGTATGAGTTTTGCACTCTGTTAAATTTATTCCAAAGTATGCTTTTTTTTTTAACTAATGGTATGTTTTTGTTTTGTTTTTTAAAGATTTTATTTATTTACTTGAGAAAGAGAGAGAGAGCAGGGGGAGGAGCAGAGGGAGAGGGACAAACAGACTCTGTGCTGAGTGTGGAGCCCGGCCTGGGGCTTGATCTCACGACCCTGAGATCATGACCTAAGCCAAAACCAAGAGCTGGACGCCTAATCGACTGAGCCACCCAGGTGCCTTCCTCTCCCCCGGCAAAGACAACTTTTTAGTCTCCACATCCTGGACCTCAAAATATCCCCGCAGTGGATCTGAAATTTCATTCTAGCAAATCCTACCTCCCCTGTCCTGCATAGCCTCCCAATTACTCCAGTTTTGTTTCTTCTTAAATTCAGCCCCCCACTCCAACCATTCAAGTCTTTTTAGAATACAGATTGTGCTAATCACCACCCATTCCAAACTCCTTGCATTTGTATATACGATCAGCTGACACTGAGCATGCACTAGGTACCGGGCCCAATGCGGCCCATGCCCGTGTGATCTCACTTAGTGCTGACAACAGTGAGGCAGCTATTACTAACCCCATTTTGCAGAGGAGAAAACTGAAGCTCAGACAGTTTAAGTGACTTGACCAAGGTCACACAGACCGTAAGTGATTTAGCAGGAACTTGGACATGGGTCTATGTGATTCCAGAATCCGTGTTATTACAAAACCGTGCTGTGTTATACCTTCTTTGATTTCATCTGATTCACTGAAGAAATGTGTGAAGCAAGACAAACTTTGTTTCTGAAGGACCGGTGGGAGAGAAATCTGAGGACAGCCACACAGCCTGAGGCAGTGAGGCAGGACTAGCTTTCAGGACCAGAGCCCCTCCCAGCACACTCGTAGATAGATCCTGAGGAAGGCGAAGGAATCCTGCCGTAGCTGGCTGAAGTCGGAAGTGACCTCTGCCTTCCTCCTTGGGGGCCCGCAGGCCGGCCAGTAAGGTGGGTACCAAGCCAGGGAAGGCCACCTAGAGACCTAAGAAGAAGTGAGAGCTCAGGACAGGCCAGAACTGGTCTGATGCTGAGGCGTCAGTGAGCTGAGACTGAGCTAGTGCTGATCCCGGCCCGGACTGTTTGGACAGAGCCGACGCCTAGACTGGCAGTTACCAAGAGACGTAGGGAGAGCTGCTGGTGACGGGCGCTGGGGAGCAGGGAGGAGGCCAGGGGAAACTGGACTTCTCATAGAACAGAGAGGTGGGTGGTGGTGTCTGTGTAAAATAGGTCTTCCAGAACATCCCCCGGCACGGAGAGCCAACCCCAACAGCGGGCTGGGGGCTTACGACTGTGTCCCTGGGGACAGCGTTTCTTTTCTTGGAAAGTCCAGTTTCTCTTTGGTTCAACTTTTCCTTGGGATTGGCCAGCAGTGAAAGGAAGACATTGGATAGAGCTTCTCATAGCATTTATTTTTTTTCAGATAATAAAGCCGGGAGTGCGGAGTAGCCAAAAGGGGAATGTTAGTGGTGTGGGGGCTGGCTTGGGCGGGGGAGCTGAGGAGGGCTTGAGTGTGGGGAGTCGCAGAAGAGGGTACAAATGTGCAGCAGCTGAACTAGAAGGAGAAACGTGAAGAGTCACTGTAAGAGTAGCTGCCGAAGGCATGGGAATAGCTGCAAAGGATGAGGACCCGAGTCCCCTAAGCCCACCCCACCCCTGGGTCCCCTTTTATTTTTTTAAGATTTTATTTATTTATCTGAGAGAGAGAGAGAGAGAGAGAGAGGAGGAGCAGAGGAAGAGGGAGAAGCAGACTCTGCACGGAGCCCAATGTGGGGCTCGATCCCACGACCCTGAGATCACGACCTGAGCCAAAACCAAGAGTTGGAAGCTCAACCGACGGAGCCACCCAGGTGCCCCGGATCCCCTCTTTTCTTAAGTTAGAAAAAAAAAAGATTCCTTGAGGCAGCTCAGGTCAGAGGCTGCAAGGATCCGAAGTCACAGGCGGGAGAGTGGAGTTGGCTCTGGCCAGCAGAGCCCGGTTCTGACTTGACAGCAGCTCAGGCCTCCTCAGCTGTGGCGTCGATGCCCGCGTAAGTGAAGTTCTCAAACAGCGACATGTTCACATAGGCCTGCGGGACAGAACAGGCTTTAGTGCGGGCCGGGGGGGGGGGGGGGAGCGGGGGCGCCTCTGGCTGGAGCTGCCTGGCTTCCAATGTGGTAGCGCGACTTGAAGAGACACTGATTTAGACTCAAGATGGCCCCATGGCCAAAGGCGGCCCTCTGCAGCCAGAAGAGACCACGGTTGGGGGTTCAGGTGAGAGCCCGTCGACACACTGTTAAACAGGAGGGTTTTTTCTCTTCTTTTAAAAAATTTTTCATTGAACTGTAGTTGACATATAATATTATGTTAGTTTCAGGTGTACAACAGAGCGATTTGACAGTCACCATCTGTCACCACTCAAAGTTAGCACAGTATTGGTGACTATATTCCTTATGCTGTGCTTTCATCCCTGGGACTGACTTACTGCGTAACTGGAAGTTTGTACCTCTTGTACCTCTTAGTCTTCACCGATTTTGCCCAAGTGTGGAGGCTTGGCAACCACTAGTTTGTTCTCTGGATTTATGAGCCTCTGTTTTTTGTTTATTCTTTGTTTTGTTTTTTAGATTCCACATATAAGTGAGATCAAATGGTATTTGTCTTTCTCTGACATATTTCTTAGCATAGTGCCCTCTAGATCCAATCATGTTGCTGTGAATGGCAAGATTTCATTCTTTTTTTTTTTTTTAAGATTTTATTTATTTATTTGACACAGAGAGAGACAGCGAGAGAGGGAACACAAGCTGGGGGAGTGGGAGAGGGAGAAGCAGGCTTCCCGAGGAGCAGGGAGCCCGACGTGGGGCTCGATCCCAGGACCCTGGGATCATGACCTGAGCCGAAGGCAGATGCTTAATGACTGAGCCACCCAGGCGCCCCAAGATTTCATTCTTTTTGTTGGCTGAGTAATATTCCATTGTACACACAACTGACGCTGAACAACATGGATTTGAACTGTATGGGTCTCCTTACACCAGATTTTTTTCAATAAACACTGTACAGTGGGGGTAAATGTATTTTCTCTTCCTTATGATCTTCCTACTAACATTTTCTTTTCTCTAGTTTATTTTGGTGTAAGAACACAGTATATAATACATACACAAAATATGTGTTAGTTGACTGTTTATGTTAGTGGTATGGCTTCTAATCAACAGTAAGCTATTAGTAATTAAGTTTGGGGGGAGTCAAAAGTTATATGCAGGTTTTTGACTACCTAGGGGATCGGTGCCCTTAACCCATCCATTGTTCAAGGGTCAACTGTATATACCACATCTTTATCCATTCATCTTGGTTTTTTTTTATGTACCCATCAAATGAATCTATTCATGCATTCATTCATTTATCCATCTATTCATAAAGCTATTTTTGATCATTTATCCATTTATGTGGTTATTTGATCATTCATTCATTCTTGTTTGTTTGTTGAAAGGGTTTATATTTATGTAGTCTCCACACCCAACGTGGGCTCAAACTCATCACCCCGAGATCAAGAGTCACACCCTCCACCAACTGGGCCAGCCAGGCCTCCTGATCATTCCTTCATTTTTTTTTTAATGGGATTTTTTTTTAAAAGATTTTTTATTTTATTTTATTTTATTGAGAGAGAGAGAGCATGAGAGAGAGGAGGGTCAGAGAGAGAAGCAGACCCCCTGCTGAGCAGGGAGCCCGATGTGGGACTCGATCCTGGGACTCCAGGATCATGACCTGAGCTGAAGGCAGTCCTTAACCAACTGAGCCACCCAGGCGCCCCATTCCTTCATTCTTATGACAGTTTATTAATTCCTACAGCTACTCAGTCATTAATTCATACAAAGAACTCTTTTTGCATTTGCTCATTCTGATATATTTCTTCGTTTATATTTACCTGATAATTCATTTATTCACGTGGTTATTAGATTCAGTTATTTGTTTATTCATATGCTTATTATATCACCCATCCACTAATTCTACTCATTCATTCACTTACTATATCATTCATTCACCCATCCATCCATTTGGTTAGCTGGCCATTCGTGCACTGTCACTCTGGCTCTGTGCCCGGTGAGGAGAAAGGCTCCAGATGAGAGTGGGCTGATGGCCCCAGCAGAGGAAGACAGGTAAGGAGTCTGGGACCTGGGACCTGGGGGAGGGATTGGCTGCCAGGGCCTTGGAAGAGTTAGGAGGCCCTAGTGTCCAACCCATGGAGAGCTGGAAAGCGGGGGGTGGCATCCTGAGGCCCAGCTGTCCCGGCAGCTAGTGGTGGGGATAAGGACATGGAGGTGCTGCTCTCTGCTCTCTGAGAGAGCACCCCCGGAGCCTGCTGAGCCCTAGTCCCCGTCACCCCCAGTCTCCTCACCTTCCTGGCTTCCAGCATCCGGCCCAGCTGCAGCGCAATCTGGGCAAAGGGGGGTCGCTCGTATGGACGGTCCCGCCAGCACTGACGCATCAGCTCGTACCTGCGGATGGGGCATTACTGAGAAGAGGGGTCGGGGCTAACTGGGCTGAGGGGGCCCGGGGCTCCAGGCTGAGGACACTCACACTTCATCGTCACAGTTACGAGGCTGTTCCATGCGGTAGCCCTGAGGCAGCTTCTCATAGAGCTCAGCACAGGTCATGCCACAGTAAGGCGTGCCCCCTGCAGGAGGGGACGGAGCTCTCTCAGCCCAGGGAACGGGGGGTGGGGTGGGGGGTGGGGGGTAAGGAGAGGGCCGGGGTCTGGGGCTCTGGAACTCACCAAGGCTCACGATCTCCCAGAGGAGGACCCCAAAGGACCAACTGAAACGAGAAGGATGTACTTAGTTCCCGTCTAGGCCCTGGGGCCAGCAGTTTAGTGTCTACCTGCCCCGGGGCGCAGCCCCTCCCGGCCCCCGCGTGGGTCTACACTGCAGGTGTCCGCCTTGGCCAGCCGCTGTCTCTGCTCCACTGAAATTCCTTCATAGCCGCTCCCAGGCTCAACATAGTACAGCTAACATTTTAATCACGCATTCTGGGCCTCGCACTGATCATCTAACATGTATGTTCATGCGTTCAACCCTCGCACCAGCCTTATGATATAGGTGCTATTGTTATGCCCATTCTACAGATGGAAACACTGAGGTACTGGAGAAGTACTGACTACTGAGCTAGCTTGCCCAAGGTCACACAGCTCGTCAGTGGTGGAACTGGACTCAAGCCCTCACAATTCAACTCCAGAGCCCTTGCCCTTAACTGCCTCTCACCTGCATAGCAACCTCTATGCAGGTGAGACCAGGATGGAAGTTCTAGTGGGGGGAGGGCATCTAGGGGTTTTGGGGGCAGAAGCAGGAAGTAGCTGAGTGGTGGTCAGAGGGGCAGTCACTGTGGTGGACAGTGAACAAGGCAAGCCAGGCCAAAGGGCCAGGGGCCAATGGGCAAAGCAGGCCGGGTTCCCTGGAAAGAGGAGAAGGGGGGCCAATGGGCAAAGCAGGCCGGGTTCCCTGGAAAGAGGAGAAGGGGGGCCGATATGGTCATCTGGGGGTGAGGAGCATAAAGAGCGGACCTTGGCGGTTATGCTCTGGTTACATTCTCAGGTGGGGATGACCCCGCCCTTCAGAGACGAAGGTGAGAACATTCCTTGAGTGGTCTCTCCATCCACCCAGGCATTATCCCCCCACATTCCCGAACCTCTCCAGTGTATCTCCCAGTGTTAGATGAGCACTACTCTAAAGTCCCCTACTCCAATCCTATCACTGAAACACCTTCCAAGACAACGCCTCCTTCCAGCTAGCCCCCCCACCTTCCCACTAAGATGCTGGGCATAGCCAAGATCTACCCAAGACACACTTGTATCATACCTGTGTCATGTCTGGAACATACCCTGGGAATGCCCACGTCATGCTTATACACCTAACACGGCCCTAAGATGTGTCTAGTTATGTCTGTATGCATCCTTGGGGGACCAATCCCTCCTGCCCCTTCTGAGCCCCACACTCACACATCACTCTTGGTGGTATAGACACTGTAGTTCAGAGACTCAATGGCCATCCAGCGCACAGGGAGACGCCCCTGGGAGAGAGTGGGTTTGAGGGGTTGGGTGAGGAGGAGGGGCCTTGTCAGGGGTCCTGGGGGGCAGAGCAGGCACTGAACCTGAGTGGGGAGACTGAGACTTACCATCGTCTTCTTCACATAAACCTCCTCCCCCCGAGAGAGGCCAAAGTCAGCAATCTTGGAGGCCAGGTTCTCTCCGACCAGCACATTGCGGGCAGCCAGGTCCCTGTGGATGAACTGTAGGCATGGTCAGAAGTCAGGAAAGACTGGGGATGAGCAAGCCCAGGATTCCTGGGCCCGTGAGGGATCTGACCTCACAGCTGGTCTTTGTGGGCACCATCCGTCTCTATAACAGCCCCTTACCCTTCTTCCCAGCCAACCAGGCCTTATCCTGGATCAGCGACTCCTGCCTCAGAAGTCACGCTGCTGGCTGTCCCTTCTTTCTTGGGATCTGGCCACGGCCAAGCTCAGGCAGTGTCCCTCTTTTTGGGACAAGGGTGGGCTTGTCCCTGGTGACCACACTGCATCCTCCCCTCTTCACTTGTTCCCTTCCCCCTTTCCTCTCCCCTCCTTGATGAAAGTGGGGGATGCCCTCCTCTTGCCCAAAGTGACCTTTCCCTTGAGTCCCAAGTCCTCCCACAAGACCCTCCACCTTCCTAGGAAACCTCTCTCCATCAACCCCTCCCTCTGCCTTGGCCCCTACTCCTCTGCTTCAAAGACACTCGAAACTTCACTAACTTTAAAATGCCCTTGCTCAGTCTCATGTCCCCCTCCTGCTACTGTGCCCTCCTTCTTTCCATTCAAGCAGGGTGTCCTCAGACGTGGGCTCAGGCCGCCACTCCCTGCCCCACCCTCCACCCTGTCCTGGTGGGTCTCTCCATCCACCCCCTCACAGGGTCCACTGCCTTGCCATGAGACTCTCCACCATTTTGTGGGGTGACGGCTCCCAGATTGTTGTCTCTGGCCTCGGCCTTTCTCCTGAGCTCTAGGCTGGTACCTCTAACTGCCAACTCAACATCTCCACTCCGATGCCCCCCAGATGCTTCAAACGCAGCACCTGCCCCCAGACCTGCTTCTCGTCCCGTGCTCTCCTGCACGCGCCCGGGCCGGTGGCTCAGGGTCTTGTCGTCCTCTGTCTTGCCCGACCGCACACCCAGTGAGAGCCTGCGGCAGTGTGCCCCATGGCGACACGCCTTCCCCCCACTCGCACACACCTGCTTCTCGCTCAGGTACTGCATGCCGTTGGCCGCCTCACTGGCGAAGCGCAGCAGCTGCCGGGAGCTGAGGGTCGAGGCCGTGCCATGTTCTCGGGCGAAAGCTGGGTCCGTCTCCAGGACCCGGCTCTTCCGCAGAAAGTCTAGCAGGTTCCCGTAGGGGGCGTATTCAATGGCGATATACAGGTAACCTGGGCGGGCAGGAGCGGGGACAGCGGGCTGGAGGCAGGCCCCCCGATGGGTCGGAGAAGGGAGCCTGAAGACCCGGTAAGCTGCTACCGTGAGGAGGGGATGGCTGTCGACTGGGCTTGGGAAGAAGGGCCAGGTGAGGAGCTGGGGGTTTACCTCGGTTCTCACAAGCCCCCAAGAGGTTGATGATATTGGGGTGATGCCCCAATTTGCACAGAACTTCCAGTTCCCCCGCAAAGTCCCGATGGTCATTTTCAGAGGCATACTCTGTGTAAAGAATCCAGTAACACTTTTGTCAGAAACAGTCCTGGAGAAAAGGCAAGGCTAGTGAGGGCTGCGGTGAGGTGCTGGAGGGAGCCAGGTAGGGCCTGGGATCTGTGGGACAAAAGGGAGGGGTGGGGGAGGGCCTGGGGTCAGGGGTTGCTCCTGGGGGGACCTTTCAGCATCTTGATGGCCGCGTTCATCTTGAGCCCGTCCTTCTTGATCATGGCCCGGATGACCTGGCCGAAGTTCCCCTCCCCGATGAGGTCCTCAAAGGTGATGTCTTCCCACTCCAGCACTGGGTAACTCAGGGGCTCGGGCTGTGGTTTCGGCCGCCGGGTTAGCGTCAAGGTGCCTGAGCTGAACTGCAGGATGGTTTCTTCGCCCTTCATGGGAGGGGACAAGTGGGCAGGCGGTCTGCACCAAGACACGGGGCCAGCAAGAGGCCCAGATAGGCATCAAGGGATAGTTAGACAAATGGGCAGAGACCCCCGCAGAGGGCACTCTGGTGGTCAGCCAGGAACAGACATGCAGACAGAGGACACACACTGAGACAGAATCACAGGAGATGAAGCCAGTGGCGGGCCGCTGGGTGGACGGATGTCCAAGAAGAGAGAGGCGAGGCCACAGCCGGGGATCAGGTATGGGAGGCTCTGGAAGAACAAGGAGTGGGTAAGGCTGCTAGAAGCCATGAAGACACGAGTCAATGGAAAGAGGGTATCTCCAACATTCCAAACAGGAAAGAATTGGAATGAGCTGTGCTGCGAAGTGGTAAGCTTCCTATTACTTTGCCAATCTCACAAGCAGGCTTTCTGGTCATCAGGGGTGCTGTGGAGAGGATTGCAGCCTTGGGCCGTGCGCTAGGACACGTTTATTGAGCGCCTATCACATGCGAAGCCCCAAGCTGCTGGGGGTCAGTGGAGGGGTTTTCTCCACAGCAGTAGAAGCAGAGATGACTGTCTACCCAGGTGGCATCCATCTATAGCTCTAAAACCACCCAGGAGCTGAAGACAGAAAGACCAGCACAAAGAGGAACATCATTTCCCCCAACCGTGTAGGAGCTGGGCCACCTGGGCAGGGCGGATGGCAGGAAAGGGAAACAGCTGGGCAGGGCCCAGGGCACGGCTGACAAGAGAACTGGAAGAGGGTTGACACAGACCTGGGGGTGGGGCTTCCTAACTGAGCGGACGCCCAGCTCCCTAGGTGAGGGGCTCAGGACACGGGGCACACGGATTCACAGGAACCACGCACAGCGGAGGGCACCGTACGCAGATGCATGCACGCACATGTGCTCGGGGAGGGGCACAAACACAGGGACACACGGGGACACGCACGGGGGTGCCCACCAGTGGATGCATATGTGCACTCCTGTGTGGCACACACGCACACCTTCGTGCGGGCACACGAGGGAGGGGACGTCTGGGCAGATAGGAGGATTATGTAGATGTTCAAGGCTGCTTTCCCACCTCCTTCCCTCAACATTTGTAGCGCCCTGCCCCCACCTTAGTGGTGGCAGCTTTCTGTGCGTACTGACCTCAGAGCGAGCAGCCTGGAACAAAGAAGCCAACTGAATCTGTGAAGGGAGTTTTTACTAAGGCGTGGCAGAGACAGTAGCCTTGGACACTAGGCCTTCTGTCATAAGGATCAGCCCTTGAGAGAGAAGAGGGGTTTTTTGTTTTGTTTTTTGTTGTTTTTGTTTCTTTGAAATGCCAAAGCTTGGCTGTGAATGTCAAAAGCCACGGTGCGGAGGACTAAGGGCAGAGTCTGGATCATCAGGGACAGCTCTGGGGAAGATCTCAGAGGAGGCAGTAGGGCAGGCGGGAGAGAGAGATGGGAGGTGGGGACAAGAGGAGCAGATGCTGGGTGCTGGCAGAGGAGCCTGCCCCGCCCCCACCCAAGCGTGGGCCTGTGGCTGGAGGCACACAGACTACCGACTACAGAGAGCTCAGACAGGTTTACAGCAAGGCCAGGGAGAGTGGAGGCGGCACTTCCTTCCCCCCTGTAGCAACAGGTGAACCCCGGGCTAGCACAACTCTGGAGTAGAAACAGCCATGACAGGGGTTGCGACAAAGGGTGTGAGGGCCACAGAACATGCTGCCCTCCGTAGGGTACAGGGAGCACCTCACGGCTCTCAAGTTTCCCAGAGGAGGCCCTGGCCTTTGCAGAGATGAGGCCGGGACGAGGAACTCACAGTAGGAGTGGCCTGTAGGCCGGACGCCACAGAAAGGCTGAGGGCATCGGCCACAAATGTGTGCTGGCTCCCAAGTCCGGGAGGGTCTGCCAGGACAGGGGCCAGTATGAGGCCCAGGTGTCCCACTGTCCCCCCCACCCCCCGTGTCATCACCATGCTACCTAGGCTTATAGTACCTCCAGTGAGAAGTGGGAGAATCCTGAATCTACCACGGTGAAATATGGACATACGGGGTTATTTTGAACTGGGAATATTAAATATTTCACCACTAACATAAACTGACTTATGAACTGAATTCAGTTCTAGAAAAATAAGGAAAATTATATTTTACACCCCTGAGCATCGTTGAGTGAGGTCCTATACCTGCGACATAAACACGCACACGCACGCACACGCACACACTCAGGGGACACAGGTACTGTGCGTGAGCGGACAGACGTATCTAGACACGGGGCCCACGGACTGACCGATCCTGACTGGTAAGTGAAGGTGCGTCTGCGGCGCAGGCAGCTTCTGCGGATGCACACCAGTGTTAAGAGGGCAGCCAGGATGCTGAGACAGGTGGCAGACACGGAGCCCACTACGGCCAGGATCAGCTGCCGATCCAGGCCCTCCTCAGCTGCCTGGACCTCTTGGACCGGGCCCTCACTCTGCAGCCCTGCACACAAGAAGGGGGGCGGATCACGGGGAGGGAGAGGTCAGAGATCCTAGTACCAGGAGGGACGAGGGGTGTCCGGCCGGAGGCCGATGGTTCACTAGAGTGACAGGATTTTCCTAGCATCAGGACGACAGAAGCAGGGAAGGGCCAGGGTGCCCAGGATCAGGACTGGTGTGATGTGTTGGGAAGAGCCTTGGATGTCCTAGCTCCAAAGCTGGAGACTGAGTGGAGGGAGAGGGCCCGGAGACCTACCCCGGGGCCAGGAGCGCCCGTGGCCCTGCTCTCTCACCATTGCCCAGGGTGGACTCCTCCACCACGCTGCTCCAGTCGCCGGGGCCCTGGACACTGGCCCGCACACGGAAGAGGTAGCGTGTACTAGCATTAAGGCCACGGACAATGGTGCTTGTCTCCTCGGGCCTGTCCACGTCCATCCACAGCGGGTCTCCTGAGCCCCCAGCCACCTGCACCTCCACGATGTACTTGGATATAGGCCCAGCTGAAGCCTCTGGGCGCTGCCATGTCAGCTGAATCTCGGAGTCTGAGAGGGCCTGGGCACGGAGGTGTCGGGGGGCTGGGGGCCCTGGGGAGATGGGGGTGGGAAGGCAGGGCTCAGATGGGAACAGGGTATGTAGCTCTGGGGTCAGATCCACTCTAGCCGTGTTCCCTGCTCTGTGGACCCCAGAATGCGAGCCATCCCACCAACCTCCTCCTTTCCCTTCTGGGCTGAATTCTGCTCCCTACGGCTCCCTTCACCCCCCAAGCTTCAGTTTCCCTTTGTTTTCCTTATGTGCCAGGTCTTCCTGGCATCCAAGATCCTCCCAGCATGCTAGGTCCTCCCCGTGCCCCCTGTGCCCTGTGTTCCCCTAAATCCCATGTCCTCCTGGTGCACCACATCCTCCCCATGACCCTTGATCTCCACATGAACCCTGGCCTCCCCATGTCTCCCCCGTCCCACATGCTCCTGGGGACCCACCTCCCCCTGGTCTCCAATATCAGCCCGTCTCACATCCTCCCTGCGGTCATGTCTGTCTGATGTCTTACTTCCCCCTCATGCCCACGTTTTCCACACGTCCTGTGTTCTCTCCGTGTCCATGCACTCTCTGGTGACCTCCCATGTCCTTTTGTGTTTCCTGTGGCCCATGTCCTCCCCTCATCCTGCACCCGCAAGCCCCATTCCAGGCACAGCATACCGCTGGGGGGCAGAAGCACGCGCGCAGGGGGCGAGGCAGGGCCCAGGAGGGTACAGTGGTAGAGCCGCACATCCAGCTGGTAGGGGGTGCCAGGCGTGAGTCCGGTCAGGAGGGCGGTGCGGGCCTGGGGGGACGAGACGTTCTCCCGCCGCTCCTGTCCCCGTGTCCCATCCCATAGGCGCAGCAGGAAACCATCGCCCACCAGTAGCCCAGGCACCGAGGGTAAGGACCAGCTCACTCGCAACCGGTCAGGGCCCTCCACGTGCCAGCCCTCCAACCACGGCTGCAACGAGGGCTCTGGGGCCGGAGGTCAGGAGTCAGAACTGTTCAGCTGGTCCTCGGGGCTGGACAGGACAGTGATTCCCCAGGGGACAGGGTGGGACACCCTCCAGTGGGAAAGGCAGGGGCCCCTGGCGTGGGGACAAGACAGGACAACTCCTGAGTGCATGGGACGGTAACCCCCGGGGGGACATGAAGGGGTGACTCTCGCCTCTCACCAGGACAGTCTGTGGTCATGAGGGTGGGAGGCCCCCAGGCCCCCTCCCCGCCTTCCCCTGGCCGGCTCAGCTGTACGCGGACGCTGTATCCCGTCTTCGGCCTCAGGTTCATTAAAGTCACATTCTCACTGGGGTCCACTGGGGGCAGCGCACATCTGTTCAGCCCCCACCTCTTCCACAAGCTGCCATCCTCCCCCCTGTCATTCTGCCCTTTCCCCTCATTATTACCCAATAGCCCTGTCCTGCCCCAGCCCCCCTCCCAACCCCAGTGTCCCGCCCCCGCCCCCCCCCGCCTCCCCCGCCGCTCACCCACAATGGCGGACCACGCCATGGTGCTGTCCTGGGGCCGATAGTGCAGGCGGACAGAGGCGATGGGGCCATCCCCAGAGAAGGAGACCAGCGGGGAGACCACGAGCTGGCGGCTCTGCTTGGCCAGGAGCCGAGGAGCAGTCAGGGGCACTGGGGGCACTGCCAGGAGACCCAAGGTAAGGCAGGGTCCATCCAGATAGCCTGCCCAGTCCCCAGAAAACTAAGGACTCTACTGTGGCCAGCAAAGCCGTGTCTGGGTCTTGGTTTGGATGTGGGGCCCCCTCCGGGCTGATGAGAGACAAAGTTCAACCGATGACCAGAAGGGCCCGCGTTCTCCCCCTGGGCAGCTCAGGGCACAAGGATCCAACAATGAGGACGTGAGAGGGTCCCCAACGATGCTAAGTGAGGTCTGCCATGGCTAGCTGGATTTGGGGGAGGGCACTCTATCCATGTAGTGTGGGGCACACAGAGGGGGCTGAGACCCAAGGCACGGAGAGAGCCTGGTGTCAGCATGCTCTCTGCCCTCCCCCCATCATTTGTCACTCTCTTCATTGGAGAAAAAAAAGATAGCCACTGATGAGGCACCCGCTCTATCCGGGCTGCTTCATGCCTACAATCTCCACTTCTCACAGCTACCTTTCAGGCAGGGCTCTCCCCTGTGTTATGAGGCTCGGAGAGGTTTACCTTGCCTACGGCCAGGCAGTCAGCAGGAGGTACAACCAGGGTTTGAAAGAGGTGCTTGGCCAGGCCACCTAGAATCAGCCAATTCTACCCCGAACAGCTTTTTGTTCCTGCCTGGCTTCCTCACTCCATGCTCATCGCCCCTCTTCTGGCTTGAGCTTTTCTTACCAGATGATCGCGTCTGCTCTGTGACTGGTTCCCTTGCTTCGCCCAGACATTTATCAGACTGATTGTTCTAAGAAGAATGGGTGGATGGAGGAATGGGTGGCTGGAAGCGAGGGAGGGCAGGAGGATGGGTGGAGGATGCAGGGTTGCGAGCTCAGGGGGTGGGAGGACCGGTGGCGTCAGCATATCATGAGAAGGTGAGAGCAAGGGTGGGTTTGGAGCCCTGGAGCCCCAGGTGCCTAGGGCTCACAGCGGGGCTTAGCTGTGCAGGGGGTGGCCAGATATAAAGTGGGCCCAGACTTCCACACTGACTTCAGAACCAGACCCCCACTGCTGGAGGTCCCACCAAATGGGTCTGGGGCTCAGGAGAGTGGTCTAGGCTGCAGGTCATATCTGGATATGCATATCTGGAGTTGCCAGAGAACAGCCAAAACCGTGAGAGCGGATGCTTTAATAACAGTAACAATAGGGATGTCTGGGGGGCTCAGTCCTTTGAGTGTCTGACTCTAGGTTTCAGCTCAGGGTCCTGGGATGGAGCCCCGCGTTGGGCTCTGTGCTCAGCACGGAGTCTGCTTGTCCCTCTCCCTCTGCCCCTCCCCCTGCTCGCTCGCTCGTTTCCTCTCTTGAATAAATAAATTAAATCTTTTAAAAAAATAATACTAACAATAAATGTCAACGTATATGGAGCACATACCCTGCATCAGGCACGACGCTCAGTGCTTAAATACATCATCTAACCTCATTGCAACTTCAATGCATTAAATGCACCATCTAACCTCAGCGCAACTTAAACACGTTAAATGCATCATCTGACTTGCTTCACTGCAACCCTCTCTGGAGAGTGCTGATATCCTCTCTGCATGGGGAGAGAAATAAGCTGTGAGGAGCTAAGCAGCTTGCTTAAGGCTCTGGAGCCAGGAATTTGTGGTGAGGATTTGAAACCAAATTGCCTGGGATCGGAAGCCTGGGGAGAAGAGACAGGCTGGAGGTGGAGCCCGGGTCACACTGATAGGTCCTGCTGGAGGGGCAGCTGCAAGCTTGGTGGGAGGGGTGGAGAGCAAGTAGGGAGGAAGAGAAAGAGGAAGAGGAGAGAGATCTGGGCTTCTGTGGGGGAGGCGGGCTGTCAGGAGCAGAGGGCCAGGAGCTAGGGCTTACGGTGCTGGCGAAGGTGAAGGGACATGGTCATGCCCTGCTCTGGGCCATCCTGGGCACTGGCAGCTCCCTCCCTACTCACCTGGAAAATCCCAAGTAGCTCCTCTGGGCAGCAGGCCACCCTCTGAGCTTAGGTGCCCCGCATGCTCCCCTGTCCTGGCACTGAGAGCCCTGGGGTGTGACTCGGAACAGGGAGGAGCATCCCAGAGGCAGAATTAAAGACACGCTGGGTGCAGGGCTTGTGAGGAGGTGGAGAGGGCCAGCATGGCCAGACAGGAGGCTGGGCAGGGCCAGAGGGTATGTCGTTCCTAAGGTCCGGGATGTCCTTTCCAGATAGGACAGAGCTATGCTTCTGCCCTGACACAGGCCAGCCCAGACCTCTGGTGGATGACAAGCCCTCTTTGTTGGGTGCTGGGCTGGGAGCTGAGGTGCCCTTGCCCTTCCTGCTACAATGCCCTGTCTGAGCAGCATCAGCCCCCTGAGCACCACTCTGCCCACTGTCCATCCTCCATGGCCCCAGGACATCACTGACCTTTGACATTGACCCTGAAACGTCGGCTGTCTTGGCCACCAGATGTGGACACGCGGCACTCCCAGAGCCCACTGTCCCCAAGGGCCAAGCGGGGCACCTCGAACTCAGCTGTGGTCCTGTCTGGCTCCACAATGGCCTTGGTGGACTAGAGAGACAGGGAAAGGGAACAGACCATAGAGAATGAGCACCCAAGTGGCTGATATGAGGACTGATGAGGGGACAGAGATGGCTTCTCAACCGTCTGTCTGACCCCATTTGAGCCACAGTCAGGCCAGTGGGTAGAGCCTATGGAAAGCCCTGAGGGCTCAGGGGTCTGAGAGACCACATGTGAGGCCGGTGGGATGCGGGGGGGTGCAGGGGTGCTGCTGACCAGGAGGACTGTGCCATCTGGCTTCCGGAGCTCCATGCTGCCCCGCACTGGGAACGGGTTCCCCGCGGCTGCACAGTTGATCCGGGGCGTAGTCTCTAAGTTGAACTCCAGTTCTGAGGCCACGTCCAGGATCTGGGGGATCCGGTCTAGGGAGAGAGAGGGCACATCCTGGAGCCCCTTGGGGCAGACACTGGCCACAAAGTGGCCCCTTGTCCCGTCTCATGCATCTCAGAGGAGGTGCCGTTAACTGCTCAGTCGCTCAAGCCTGAAAGCCGCAGAGTCCCATAGGGCCCTCGCACCCCACGGCTGATCAGCCGCAGAGTCTACCTCCTGCGCCCCCAACCCGACGTCCTCCCTCGGCCAAAGCAGTCCCCTCCCCGGCCTCACAGCCCCAACACTGGTTCAGGCCTCATTCGTTTCTGGGCTCTGTTACAGACCCTCCAGGGTCTCCTGCCTCCACTCTCCACCCAGCTGTGTGGATCCTCTCCCAAACCCAAATCTGACTGCCTTCCACGTGTTCAACAATTCCCTCCTGCCCCCAGCACACCTGCTGGCCTGCTGTTCAAAGTCCCCAAGGTTTGCCTCTTCTGACCCCCCCACCCCAGCCTCCCCTTACCCCACTCTGCTGGTACCGGACCCCGAGGCCTCAGCCCCTGGGCCTTTGCCTGGGCTCTTTCCCCAGCCATCTTGCGCTCATCCTTCATACCCCACCTCAGATCTTGCCTCTTCCCGAAAGCCCTCCCGGAGCCCCAGACTGGCCAAGGGCCTCCTCTGGGCTCCTACCCACTCTGGCTCCAGCCCAGCCCTGCAGGGGTGAAGTGGGCTGGGCAGTGAGGACACCCCCTGAACCCTGAGCTCCCCGAGGGTAGGAGCTGGAGCCGGGGAGATGTGTCGGGCGAAGGCTGACTTGTTTTGGGGGGTCTCAACGACCCTTGTACCTGACTTCTCACAGTGCACTCCGTGCCAGCCGGACGGACAGACACAGCCGCTGAAGCGGTCACAAGTACCACCATTCCGACAGCGGCACTGGAGACGACAATCCGCCCCGAAGTGGCCAGGGGCACAGGCTGCGAACAGAGGGGCTGTGGTTAGAGGGGCAGCGAGGGCACAGCCGGGGCCGGGGTAACGACAGGCTGCGTGAGCAGGGGACCGTGGAGGGCCTGGCGTGTGCAGCAGGGCCCGGGGGGAGGCTCCCGGTCTGGCTTGTGGCCGGCTGTCCGGGTCAGGGACAGCGGAGGGCAGGTCGGTCCGTACCTTCCTGGCACTGGCTTCCTCTCCAGCCAGATCCACAAGAACAGCCGTAGGGGTCCGGGAGGCAGAAGGTGAGACCTCGGCAGCCTGATGTGCCTGGGCACTGCTCCTGGCAGCTCTGCCCAAAACGGCCCTCTCTGCAGGCTAGAAACACGGCGGGTGGGTGTAGGATCCACTGTTGGGCCTCAGGGTCCGGGATCCTTTTGGCGTTCTCTCCACCCACCAAGCTTCATCCTCTTGGTTCATGAGTCTTGCCCCAGCCAGGCAGCCTCTCTTGCCTAGGTCCTAGCAGCTCCCGCCCCCCCGCCCCGGCCTCCTTACCCTGCTCGCAGCGGGTGCCAGTGAATCCAGGGGGGCACACACACTCGCCATCCTGGTCATGGCAGACACCTCCATGCAGGCAACCTGGGCATTCCTTGGTACAGTCTGGTCCCCAGCGCCCTGCCCCACAGCCTGGGGGAATGTGCTTTCAGCGACCGACCTTCACCCACCACCACTGCTGCTGAGGACTAGGACAGCCCTGGGGGCCCACAAGAAGTGCCCACAGGGCTCCCAGCCTCCCATCCCACCCACCATCTCTGCCCTCTGCTCCTAACCCCGCACGATGAGCCGGAAGAAGGCGCTGCCTAGGGGGCTGGTTTCCAGGTAGGTGGCACTGTAAATGCCACTCGCTGGTGGCTGCACATTTGGGAGCTGCATCAGGAACCGCCCATCCTGGGCCTCATGCCAGTCCAGGGTATAGAAGTAGGATCCTGTGGGCAGAAGCGGGTCCAAGGCCTCAGCACCAGGTGAGAGCTGCTGCCCAGGTCACATCAATATGCGCCCCGTACAGTGGCCAGAACTGGGGCAAGGCACCAGCCAGGGTCTGTCCCCAAGGAGAAAGCTGGGGTGCATCCTCTGCTCCATGACCCACCAACACTCAGTAAGTTGCCAGGTCCTGCTCAGTCTAGCTCCTCCTCATCTCCTAAAGCAGTCCAGTCTTTTCCACGCCACTCACGGCCACCACCACCATGGCCCTGGCCTCCTACAGCCTTCCACGCAGTCTCCTCTGCCTCAGTTTCCCCTTTTCCTTGTCCATCCTCCACTCAGCAGCCCGCAGGATTTTCCTCAACAGAAGCCTCCGCAGCTCCCCTGCTTGGATTCCCCCAGTTACCCCCTCCTTAGCACATCACTGCTTAGCCCTCTGGCCCCATACCTCTCCACACCCTGCCTGATTCCTAACATTCCTGAGTTCTGAAAATGCTGCTTTCTCTTCTAGAAACACCATGGTATTTCAGCGCTTCCTGCCTTTCCTCTTAGCCAATCCTCCTGCTGGAATGTCCTTTCCTCCTCCTTTGTGTGGCTAATTCCCATACCTCCTTCTGGGTACAGTTATCTACTTGGGGACTTCTCCGAGAAGCCTCTTCCTCCAGGACCTGCAGACCCAAATACTAGGGTCCCTATCCCTGTCTCACCCCCTTTTTGCCTCTTTGCTCAGGACTGGACTGTAGGGAGCCCAGGTCTACGTGACTCTCCACACCTCTCATCAGTTCAGGGGGCCTGGTGCTCAGGAGACAAACCCCTTGGCTCAAGGGAAGGGTCCTTCTCCTTCAAGAGCCCAGGGATGCAAGAGGCAGCCAAAGGGCTGTGGGTCTGAGGGCTGAGGCAGGAATCTCTGGGGCCACACAGAATAAGGGCTCCCTCCCATGGAGACCCTCCCAGAGGGTCTGACAGGGCCAGGGTGGGGGCAGGCCTGGACCGAGTTACCAGTTCTCTTCTTCGCCACGGGGACTGCTGCCCCCTGCCAGGGGGGCCATGTGACAGCACCCGCTCACTCCCAGGGGAGAGCCAAAGGTGAGGGTTTAGCACAGTGCTGATTTGAGAGTAACAGGGAAGGATGTAGTGGACCACAAACAAGGCTGCTGGTCCTCTGGGTGCAGGAGGAGAACAGCGCAGAGCCAGACAAAAGAGGGGTGCAGGTGCCTCCCATGGACCTGATCCAGGACAGAGGCTGGTGCGGCGGGGAGGGTAACAGGTGCATCGGAGTGAAGGCTGTGTAGGCGGCCAAAGCTGGCGGGGCCGAGGGCAGGGAGGTGTTCCAACGAACAGACCCATGTGCGTCGACCTGCCCAACCTGTTCGGACGCCCCTCTCACCGTTGCTCTTCCAGATCACATCCGTCTGCTTCTCCTTGCGCACACGTGCCACAAGCACGGCTGTGTCGCCCTTGTTCACCGTGTGTGTGACCTTGTCCGGGAGCAGGTGCGCTGCGGGGGTGGGGGGGCGGGAGGGAGGAGGGTGGGGTCAGAGGTCAAGGGCGCCTCCCCTCCGGTCCCCGCCCCCGCGGGCCGGACTCACCTCCCGGGCTGTTGTGCACGTAGAGCACGCGCGTGCGCCCCGCGCCCGCGCCGCCCACGCACGAGAAGACGCCCACGAGGTCGGAGGGCTGCGAGAAGCCGCGCAGCGTGACGCGGTGCGAGCCGTTGCGCAGCAGGTGCGGGGGCTGCCCGGGCCGCGGCGTGCGCACGATGCGGTCGTCCTTCTCCAGCAGCAGCGCGGGCCCCCAGGCGTCGGCGCCCGGGCCCGGCCCGGCCTCCCCGGACACGCAGGTCAGGAAGAAGCGCTGGGGCTCGGCGAGCCGCAGGTCGGCCAGCAGCGTCAGGTCCACCGCGGCGCCTGGGGCGGGGGCGCCAGTCCTGCGTCCCACGGGGTCCCCAGCCCGCCCCGCGCGCTCTCCCAGGCGTTTCCCTCCCCTCCCTTCCTGTCTCTTTCCCCGCCCCGCCGCGCACTGGCCCTTTCCTCCCAAGGCTCTTCGTCCTAAAAACAAAAACAAAGCCCCCTCTCCGGCCTCCTGGTGCCCCCCTTCTCCCGCCAGATGGCTTCCCTTTTATAGCCTCGGAAAGAATGATGTATGCACCCTGTCTCCGTTCCCTCACTGTTTAATTCCCCGCCAGCCCTCTTGAGTCCCCACCTGTCTCAGAGGGCTCTGCAAAGGGGAGCTGCTCTCCGGGAGAGCCCTGGAGAACAAAATCGTCTTCGAGAAAGCCCTCCCTGCCACTCCAGAAATCTAGACAGGCTTGCCATCCTGGGGTTTAAGGGAGAGGCGGGCTTCTATAGCCAGGTGGTTGTGGGGCAGAAAGGAGGGGAGGCCCTCCTTTTCTGTCCCTGCCCGTTACCTGGCAAGTAATTAGTTAGCTTAAATGCCACTTAGCTCATCAATTAATATTCTTCGAAAGCCTACCACGAGTAAATTGAAGTTTGCGTTTGCTGACCGCCCAGCATATGCTGGAGCACCAGCTTTCCAGGGGATCTTCACACCCCCCCAGTGAAGTTGATGTCTTTCCATTTACAGAGGAGGGCAGTAATAATTATTCTACAGACTTCCTGGAGCAAGCTCACCTACTACCCTGGCTTTAACTATCACCTCCGAGTCGACAACCCTGGGACAGCCTCTCAGCTTGGGCCTGCATTTCTATCCGCTTTTCCAATCCTGCTTCTCTCCGGTGCCCCCTGACTCAACAGATGGCACTAACCACCCGAGACACAAACTTTGGAGTCCTCTCATGCTCCTACTTTCGTGATAACTAATGTTTATTGGAGGTCAATTTTATGGCAGGTGCTTTATGCATGTTTTCTCATTTTATCATCCAACTATCCTGGGTGGTGGGTGTTATTACTCTAGTTTTATAGCCAGCGAATGAAACCTCAGAGAAGTAACTTGCCCAAGACATACAATTAGTAACTGGCAGAGCCAGGTTGTCTGACTCTAAACTCTATACCTCTAAGGATGTTGCTGGCTGCCGCCATCAGTCACAAAATTCTGCGGATTCCACTTCCTCAAAGCCTCTTGACTGCACCGCCATCTCCAAGCCCACCCTTGTTTAGACCTCACCTTTACTCACCTGGACCATTCCCAACTCATCCCCCATCTAAGACCTTGTGACTCGATGTCTGCAACCTCCCATGGCTCCGCATTGCCCTCAGGATACAGAGCATGCTCTTGAGCCCCTCATTGCTCACACTCTGCTCTGAGAGGGTGAGCAATGAGACTTGCATCTACTGAGATTTGCATCTCCTCTGAGACTTGCATCTACTGTTCTGGCGGCCTGGAATGAAGACCACTGCTCTTAGCAAAGTCTTTCTGGACGCCTTTGTCATCTACTACCCCCAAGCAGAGTAGCTGACTCCTCCTCAGTGCTCCTCTGGAGCTACTTGTGTCTCTCTTTTATCCTTCACCCCATGTGTTGTGACCCCAACTACCACTCAAAGATAGCTTTTGCATTCTAATCCTTTTTGGCCGTCACTGAAGGAATCAGCTACGGCTTACACAACAACTGGGCACCGGGCAATCTGTGTAAATTACCTCCTTTAAACCCCATAACAGCCATAGGAGGTCAACATCATAGACTTTGTTACATAGATCTGGAGGCTGTCTGCCTTTCAACCCGTGACCCAGAGCACAGCTCCTAGAATATTGTTGGTGCTGGGTAAATGTTTGTCAAATGAATAATTGAATGAATCCAACACACCGACCATACGAGCACCCACTGAAAACTTCAGGGCCCCCATAGGCCCTGTGGCGCTTTACTGATCCTAAAATCCAGCACAGTCAATGACTGCTGTACTCCCAATGCCAGGCTGCTGAGGTTTCTAGTGCCTGCCTTGGTTTTGGGGGCCTTGATCCCGCTTGCTAGCTGATCGGGGTGCACATAAAGGTGATGGCAGTGATGGTAAGCCTTCTTAGGGGAGAATCAGGGCTTTGGGGGCTGGGGGTGGGAGTGGCTTGGGGGAGACTTACCAACATGAGAAGCCAGACAGAGGATGGGGAGCAGCAAACGGGGCCCCAGCCAGACCATACTCTGGAGGCTGACCAGGTCAGCCAGGACAAGCTAGGCCTCCGGTCAGTTCGTCTGGGTCTAGATGCTGGACCTGAACTGATTAGTGCGTGTTGGTGCTGGGGAGGAAGAGGAAATGAGGTGGCTTGGGTGGGAGGGGTAGCAGTGAAGGGGTGGGGAGGACTTATCCTGCTTCTGCTCACCGCTCCCCCCCCCCCGCCCCCAGTCCGGCCCCCACAAGGCTGGGGATGGGTGTGGCCTGGAAGGCCCTGGAATGGGGTCACTTGAGGTGGGGGGAGAGTTGTAAGGATAGACCTAGGGACTGTGTGACCAGTTTTCCCATCTCCTGTTCTCCCTTTGGTCCTCTGTCTTGCCAGCAGGCAGGAGGCAGGAGGCAGGAAAGGGAGGAAGCCAGTGGCTTCCGCCTATTGAGGGACAGGGGAGGATGCTGTTCTGGGGTCTCCCCTCCCCCCAGCACATACACACAATACGGCCCATGCAATTCCTTATGTATGTGTCCTAGGACACCGTTTCACGGGTGTCCTAGAGAGCAGATCACGTACGTAACAAGTGGACAAAGGAACACAAGAACTCACGCTCAGGGCAGAAAAAGAACTTTGATTCTATCTTGCGTATGTAGGTGTGGACAAGTTTTCCCTTCCAGATTCTTTGGCTGGCCTAATAATTGATATGAGGCAGATTAACAGGAGAAAAACAAAAGTTTAATAGCATCTGTATTTCCCTGTAGACATAGGAGTGAAGGGGTTCAGAACAAGTCTTCCTGCAATATGCCTCTTTGGCATGAAGATTATTTTGAGCTAAAAATATTCAAAAACCTAGCAGATTCAGGAAAAGCTCTTTACCTCACTTTCAACTGCCTAAATTTATATTGGAAAGGGTGCCTGTTCCAGGAAGAGAGCTATTAGCAGAGATTCCTCTTTACCTCAGGCACTTAACTGCCTAACAGGCCAACCTTTTTTTTTTTTTTAATTGAGTTATAATTACTATACAGTGTTATGTTAGTTTCAGATGTACAGCATAATGGTTCAATAATTCTATACACTACTCAGTGCTCACCACGAGATGTATAGACTGTCACCAAACAACAATTATTATTATATTGACTATATTCCTTACGCTGTAGTTTTCATCTCTGTGACTTTTTAATTTTATAACTGGAAGCTTGTACCTCCTTATCTGCTTTATCTATCTTACACATCCCCTCTGGCAACCACTCGTTTGTTCTCTGCATTTGAGTCTGGTTTTTATTTGTTTTGATTTTTAGATTCGACATATAAGTGAAATCATTGGGTATTTGTTTTGTTTTTTGTCTGACCTAATTCACTTAGCATAATGCCGTCTGGGTCCATCCATGTTGTTGCAAATGGCAAGATCTCATTTTTTTTATGGCTGAGTAATAGTCCATTTTATCCACATTTTCCTTATCCATTCATGTATTAATGAACACTTGGGTTGCTCCTATGTCTTGGCTGTTGTAAATAATGCTGCAGTAAAAATAGGGGGTGTATATATCTTTTCAAATTAGTGTTTTCTTTTTTTTGGTGGGGTGATAAATACCCAGTAGTACAACTACTGGATCCTGTGCTTCCTCTGTACTGTTTTCCATGGTGGCTGCACCAGTTTGCATCTCCATCAACAGTGCTCAAGGGTTCCTTTTTCTCCACATCCTCGCCAACACTTGTTATTTCTTTTTTTCTTTTTTTTAGTCACTCTGACAAGTGTGAGGTGATATCTCATTGTGGGTTTGATTTGCATTTCCCAGATGATGAGTGATGTTGAGCATCTTTTCATGTGTGTGTTGGCCCTCTGTATGTCTTCTTTGGAAGAATGTTTCAGGTCCCCTGCCCATTTTAAAATCAGATTTGTGTGTGTGTGTGTGTGTGTGTGTGTTGAGTTGTTTAAGTTCTTTATATATTTTGGATATTAACCACTTACCAGATATATTATTTGCAAATATCATTTCCCATTCTGTAGCTTGCCTTTTCATTTTGTTGATGAATGACTGGACTGCCGTTGTGGTCAGGGAAAATTTCCCCCATCCCATAGACCCACAGACACCCCATTCCTAGGTATGAGGCTGGGAAGAGCTTTCTCTTTCCTTTGCTGTGCACATAATGGGGCAGCCTTTGTTTTTTAAACATCTCTTCTGCCTTCCTGCCCATACCCACCTCCCTTTTGTAGCCCACCCTTGCCTTAGTTCAGGATGTTATAAGCTTTAGCCACCTGGCTGTTCTTTGGGTCTCATATTTTATAGGGCTCCCATATATATGTAATTAAATTTATCTTTCTTCTGTTAATCTGGCTTATGTCAATTTAATTATCAGACCAGCTAAAGAATCTTAAAAGGAAGAAGGGAAGATTTTTCCACACCTGTAAGAGAGACCCAGGAAAACTGAGTAACTCCCCAAAATGGCCAAAGCCATCACTTTAAATACCATCTTCAGCTATGGACAAAAGAGGATGCGGGGGCTGGGGAGTCAGTTCTGGGAGACTACTAGGAAAAGCACAGTAAACGTGGGTAAGATTGTTGTGCAGATTTAAGTTTTTGCCCTCTGTTGATAAGAGTTTCTAGAGATTGAGTCGTTCCCTTCTTCCTGGTACAACAAGGGGGAGACACCCTTATAAATGGAGATTTTCTTTATCAGTGTAAAAGGGTAACTTCTACGCCGTTTTCAGAACTTCCCGTGTCTACTGTTTCTTAAAAATAACCAGCTTAGAGGCACCTGGGTAGCTCAGTTGGTTAGGCGACTGCCTTCGGCTCAGGTCATGATCCCAGGGGTCTGGGATCGAGCCCCGCATCGGGCTCCCTGCTCCGCGGGAAGCCTGCTTCTCCCTCTCCCACTTCCCCTGCTTGTGTTCCTCTCTCGCTGTCTCTCTTTCTGTCAATTAAATAAATAAATAAAATCTTAAAAAAAAAACAACTTAAAATAATCAATATGCCAAGGAGATATATTTCATGGTGGTATATTTTGCTTCCCTTCATATAGTTTTTTTGTTTTACAGCTGGGAAAAGTAAGGCCTGTGGTGTTTGAGGGCATTTTGGGGTTGTGGCAAGGCTGGGACTTGAACTTCTGACTTAGTGGCTCCTCAAGGGCACCTGTTAAGCAGCTCCAAGGAATGTGCAGGGAGTGAGCCTCCGGCATTTACAGTCCTTAGCTTAGGCTGCTGCCAGAGGCACCAGCTCATTGTCTGCCTGATGTCAGATTTTTTTTTATGATTTATTTATTTTAGAGAGAGAGGGAGAGCACGTGAGCAGGGGGAGGGTAGAGGGAGAGAGAGAATCTCAGGCAGACTCCCCACTGAGCAGTGCTGGGGGTGTGGGGCTCCATCTCACGATCCCGAGATCATAACCTGAGCTGAAACCAAGAGTCGGACGCTTAACTGACTCAGCCACCCAGGTGCCCCGATTATTTTTGCTGCAAACCCATGCCTATCCCTGGCACTGGGGGTGCACTCATTCTAGAAGGCTGACTGTTGCAAGTAATATACATAGCCTGGGTATACAAACAGCATGTCACAAATGAAATATCACTGCACAAACACATTCTGAGTGGGTTGTACATGGATTTGCTGTTGCAATAGGAATACTTAAAGCCATAACGCGTATCTTAGAGTCTCAGTCACTGGGAAAGTCATAGTCGAAAGAATGCTCATGAAAATATGCAGCTCTACACATTGTGAGGTCAATCCTTGAACCCCCCAAACAAACTTAGTTCATAATGAAAAAGGTCGACCAAGGATGATTTTTTTTTTCCCTCAAGAACGGGAATAGCAGCATGACCAGCTCCGCACAAGGCTGATAATTCACTGCGGAGAAAGCCGCCTTCCTGCAAATAGTGGGAATTCCAGCTGCCGGTCTGTGGGTGTATTTGGGCGTGCCGTGGGACCCAGTGCCACCCAGCTGCCAGTGGTTTCAGGGCCACCAGGCTTCCTAGTGGAATGCTGAAGTAGAGATTTTAGTGCCACTGAGATTGGGATTTTAATCTAATCTACTTTTAGTAGATTAGATTAAAATCCACTTTTAGTTTCCAAATGCCAAATTTTAGGGACCTATAATTGGAATGTTACTGGTAAGAAGCTGTAGTTGGACCAAAAAGGAATGGGTAATGAAATTAACTATCATTTGCCCATATCGACTGAAAAATGGACCTGTGTTTTTGGAACTATCAAGACCCACTGGGTTTGCTCAATGGTGTCACCTCCAGTGACACTGAAAGTCATTGTGTATTTTTCATAGCTGGTCTAGACTTGGGGCTGCTTCTTGTGGAGAAGTGGTCTCTCTTGGTCTTTTCGGGCTGCCGTAACAAAATACCACTGACTAGGTGACTTATAAACAACATTTATTTCTCACCATTCAGGAGGCTAGAAGCTGGGAGAGCGGGTGCCAACACGATCAAGGTGAGGGCTCTCTTCCAGGTCACGGGCCCTCACTGGGCAGAAGCGGAAAGGGACCTCTCTCGGACCTTTTAAAAAATTTATTTATTTGAGAGAGAGTGTGAGAGCCAGAGCCAGAGCGAGAGCGAGAGAGAGTGAGAGCAGGAGGGAGAGCACAAGTAGGGGGCGGGGCAGAGGGAGAAGTAGAAGCAGACTCTCCACTAAGCTCGATCCCAGGACCCCAGGGATCATGACCTGAGCTGAAGGCAGATGCTTACCTGACTGAGCCACCCAGGTGCCCCTCAGACCTTTTTTAAATAAAGGTATCAATCTCATTCATGAAGGCTCTGCCCCTGTGACCCAATCACCTCCAAAGCCCTACCTCCTAACATCACATTGGGCATGAGGATTTCAACTGAATTCTGGGAGGACACAAACATTCAGATCATAGCATAGTCCTTCTCTAGGAACAGGTTAATGAAACCAAGGTGGGGACAGGCCTGCAGCTTCCCAGGAACCCGTGCTTGCATGCAGATGTTTTCCACACCCCTCCTGTGGGCCAGACCCCGTGCCACATGCTGGGGCTGCAACCACAAGAAGGACAGACACCATGCTTTGGAATGTTTAGCCTAAAAGGCAACCGAGATCCTTTCATGGCAGAGACCTGAAGACTTGAAGCTTCAGGGCATTTGCTGAAAGAATGGGAACCAACTTACTCTTCTGGGTAAGGCCC